ATGCATGTGACAAAGTAGATTTAAGTCTATGGAAGCTCATGCTGCCAACCTTTTTCTTTCAGTCAGTCTCAAAGGTGCTAGATCTCTCTCTATGTACTGATTCTACAGACTAACACGGCCATATCTTTGGATTCTGTGAAAGTAGAAAGTATACAAAGAGATCTTGTAGCACCTTTGAGACTAATGGAAAAAAAGAAGTTGGCAGCATGAGCTTTTGTAGACTTCAGTCTACTTCCTCAGATGCATCAGATATCTCTAAATGCATCCGAGGGAGTAGACTTAAGTCTGTGAGAGCCCATGCTGCCAACTTCTTTCTTTCAGTCAGTCTCAAAGGTGCTACAAGACCTCTCTCCATTTTCATCTCTCGTCTCAATGGGAGTTTCCCAAGTGCTAGGAAATCCCTAGGAAATTCTCCGCCAGGGAGTTCTAGTGCCTCCTCAAACTATAAACCCCAGGATCTAACAAGATGTTCCCTTGGCAGTAGAATGGATTGTCGCATGATAATTGTGTAGGGTCCAAGGAGGCACATTGTTTGCTTATTTCAGCTGCACAAGGAAGAAGAGATTGTAGCCTTTGGATGCTGTTCTCTGCCCAGAAATGTGTCAAAACCTCCATGGCTTTTCCTCCGCCTTCCTTGCTCTCCTGAAAGGAGAAGGGCATCAAAAGCCGTCGCATGGAGGATCCAAGCCATCAAATGTCAATAAGCGGAGAGAGACAACACAACGCAGAGTGTCTGCTGGTTCAAGAGACTGTCCCCTCTTTTCCCTGAAGGATTGCGAGTGCGAGAGACATCCATCCGTTCATGCCACTAAAACGCCCTTGCTGTTCACCGCCCAAAAGCTAAAGGTCAATTCATACACTTAATGCCAAGTGGGTTTTGCAATTGAATATATCTAGAGCTGGAGGTTTCTTTTTCTCTCCCCACCCCCCTAAAATATGAGTAATGCTTAATGAATTTTTAAAATGTGTTATTGCTGGAAGCTCCTACCAATTTATTTTAGTTGCTCTTGCTATTAACATGTGTCATGGTCTCTCTCTTTCAAAGCGCCGCTAAGCTGCTTTGACTGGGCTGGTATTTCAGCGGCAACCGTTCAGTCCTTCGTAGGGACATTGCGTTGTGTGTGTGGGTGTGTGGATCAGGGTTGTGTGTTAGACCTGGATGGTGTCTCCTTGCCTCGAGGGTTGTTGGCACATCGGCTGCCCTTTACAAAGGCTAGATGCTTATCTAGAAAACGGAGCTGATTGGGATGGCTGAGGCCAGAGGCGAGTGCGAATCACTTTTTCCCTCCCCAAAGGGCTTTGGTTTAGAAGCCATGCGTGTGAAACACGTTATTAGGAACTTCACAGCTTTGAGTGTCCAGTGATGGAGCCAAGCCAGAGTTTTGGATTATCAAAGCGTTGAGGTTTTTCGATTATCAGGATCAGTCCGGGAAAGCTGGCAGATCCATTGCTAGAGGACAGTGAATCCACTATTGGTTTTAGATCTGTTTCTCCCACAATTGCTCCAGTTGGTAAAGGAACCTTCAAAGCATTGGACTCTTTTCCTAACAGAAGTTCAACACTGGCAGAGCTGCCATGCAAACATGCAGGAAGAACAGCCATAAAACCAATAGCAGAGCCACCGGTGGTTGTTGTGTTGTTGTGTGTCTTCGAGTCCGTTTCCAACCTATGGCGACCCTACCATGGGGTTTTCGCAGCAGGATTTGTTCAGAGGTACTTTGTCCTTGCCTTCCCTTGAGGCTGAGAGAGTATGACTTGCCTAAGGTCACCCAGTAGGTTCACATGGCCAAGCTGGGATTCGAACTCTGGCCTCCGGAGTCATAGTCCAATGCTCAAACCACTATACCAGGCTGGCTCAGCAAGGTGCCCATATCTTGGGGTTTTCTGGGGCTGAGAGAGTGTTACTTGCTCAAAGTCACTCAGTCAGTTTTCATGGTGGAGTGCAGAATCAAACCCTGATCTCCAAAGTCATATTCCAATGCTGAAACCACACTGGCTCTTGCCGTTGTTGTTGTTGTTGTTGTTGTTGTCGTTGTTGTTGTTGTGTGCCTTCAAGTCCATTTCCAACTTATGTCAATCCTAAGGCAAAGAAATGCAAGGACACAATCTCTCTTTGCAGCCTACAAACATTTCCAGTTGCATGAGACAAGAGTAATACATGACTACATGATGGGATTTAAGAGATTGCGGTTCATTGTCGGTGATCAGTAGGTGAATATATCAAGTCTGACCTATAAATGTCTTTCCGAAACAATTAAACTGTTGCCCTGGGTAACTTAACAGCTAAACTTCCAGTGATTAGAGGCTATTTAAAACTGTAATTTAAGAGTTTTGCATTCATTAAGGCCTATGAGCTATAATGTCAATTGCTCCGGGGTGACATGGAAAAGTACCTGGGCATCCCTTGGAGACTGTTTCCTCTTTCGTACCTTCATTACGTTCTCCATACCTTCATTGCATTTTTAATACAATTTGCTTAGCAGAGTGTGCAATATTTCACAATTTCCCCCCATTTTCATCCTTTTTCTTTCCTTCCCCCCTTTCCCCTTTTTACACCTATAGTAGTTGGAATTAATGAATGGAATTTAGATACATTAGGATTTAGGTAAAGCCGTCTTAACATCACGGCTTAAATTTTATTCATTCTATTTATTAATTCCAGCTAGTATAGATTCATTGAATCAACTGGTCCATTGAATCACTACAGACAACAAGATGCTCTATTCTCTGCTGTTTGCTGGTGTTAGTGGGTATGCTTTTAACTTGCTTTTATTGCTATTTTAACTTTTGCATGTGGTTTGAGCCCTGGGAGATGAGGGTTTGATTCCTTGCTTGGCTATGGAAACCCATTGAGTGAGCTTGAGTGAGTCACACACTCTCAGCCCCAGAAAGCC